TAAACATGGGTTTAATGATTTTTTTTTTCACAGCCTTGGAGAGAAAACATTCTACATGGGAACAAATTGAAGCCAACACTCTCTAGCTTCAGGCTGCCATGGATCCACAGACATCAGGATTTTGAACTTTACTCCAAGCCCCCATTAGAGTTTGGACCAGAACTCCCCCTAAGCATCCATTTGGCTGGTAACATTTTCTTAAAGGGGTCATGAACTGCCTTTGTTTTTTTTATTTTTACTGTTCTCTGAGATCCACTTATAATGTTATCAAGATTTTTACATCAAACAACATCATAATTTAGAAAAAATAGGCCATTTTCTGCCCTGTTTTGATCCCCTCTTCTAAACACTCTGTTTGAATAGGCGTGGCAGATTGTAGACTCAGAAGTAAATGCACACTGCTATGATTAGCTAACAGTTGTGTATGTTTGACACCCTACATCCTTCACAGATGAACAATGCGGTGACTTAGGTTAAATATGCATAAATACTCAGTACAGATCAAACAATCTGTAATAACAGGTAAAGCTATAGTGATCACGTAATGGAAACAGTTACTCACACTTGTGTAGTGTGATATTACATCCAATACAGTCGGCACAGCATCGTCTTGTAGTTTCAATCTTTCTGAAAATCCTGCATTGAATTGTGCCTTGTTTGTAAATGAATCTGCGATAAAATGAAGTGAACAAAGGACCAAGTTCTTAAAAATAACACTTCATTAAAAATAAACTTTATCGTTTGAACAACTTGTTTTATTACTACAACCTGATTTTCTGATGCACTCATATCACTATCATCAATACTTTCTGAAATAAGTACAGATTCGTCTCTCCATCTTCCAAAAATGAACCTAAAACACATGCATAAAGGCTATTATACTGCCCGCCAATGCTGGTCAATAGTGCCAGCTACACAAAATATGCATCACATAATAGGACTTTGTCAGTTATGCATGACGCTCAGATTTGTTGGTCTCCGAGTTGTTGTTTTTATAAAAACTTTAGAAAACACATTTGGATGTACATGTGTAGCCTTGATAGCATGTGACCTAACATGTGCTAATGTCTCCTTTACTACTTAGTTACCAAAAATGTGAAGCACATGGCTAATAAATTTTAACTTTACTGGTTGAAGGGGATGTCATTTGACATCACTAAAATAAAATGTTGTTGGTTGAACATTAATATTGTATTTTAAATGCAATTTTCTTAGCGTCATTTATAAATGACGATATCCCATAGAAGGGTGTTTTTGCATTTCACTCTGCTGCTTTTCTATTGCTTTTCTGCGTAACCAAACGGTAGGCGGATATTTTGTACTTGCACATGAGAACACATTCAAATAAAAAACAATCAATCTAGCAACAAAGAACACTGCAACGGTAATACAGTCTATTATAATATCAATTATGAAGTACTCTAATGTAATTTTAGGTACAGTTGATTACCAAGAAAGAAAGTGCCAGATTTGTTTGTATGACGCAAGACTCAACTGGACTCATTTGACCTTGTATTTTGTTTAGGAGAGGCTCTACATGAGGAGCAGCTTCAGGCTGCACATGCTCAGTACAACAGGTGGCAGAGGAAGATGTTGCTCGATGAGACCTCTACAGGAAGTGGAAGAGTTCCTGAGTTCAAATGTCACATGAGAGCTGGTCTGGATAAACTACAAGACATACTGAAGGACAAGCCCATGAAATATTCTCTGAAGAGGCCAGGAATGGCTTTAAAAGTAATACAAAGCTAAATGATTTCCTAAAACGATATTACTGCAGAACATAAAAATATGCATGGTAGTTAAATATAATTTTGAAAATGATATCAGATATATTGTTAGATTAACATTTTTAGAAATCACATGGACAGACCATTATGTCTCCTATCAGACAGATTTCCAACAAACATACTTTTCTTTAAAACGTTTAGGCTTGCTATTCTAGATCTAATCCCTGTTTTTTCCCCCTCAGCCTATTCCCGTTATTTTTGTGGTCCAGCCTTCTGAAAAGACTGGCTCAGCAAAGAGGGAGGCCAATATTCCATTTGCTCCTGGACCCTTTCAGAACCACAGCCTGAGCTGGGACAAAAACATAATTCCAAGATACTCGTCCCAGTACAGCAAATTCCACTTCAGGTTAGACATAATCCTTGTTCTTCACAAGTTGTGGTGCAGTAATTTAGCCTGTTATTAATTATTAAAAACAGGCTAAATTACTGCACCACAACTTGTAAATAAGTGTGAACCATTCACACTACTAATATAAATTCTCGAAACAAACACTAAAGCCTCGTTCAGACTGTCAGCCCAAATCCCATGATTTGTGCAAATCCGATTATATTTAGATAGTCTGAATGGCAACGAACTACATAAAATTAGATTTTTGCAAATCCATTTCAAGCTACATTCAGATGTGGTTTGGAATCCTATTCAATAGGGATGGGCGTATCGATCCAAAGTACCGATATATCGATACTGACACGAGTATCGAAAGTCAAACAAAAAATATCGATACTTAGGTGTGTTTTATTTACCAGTGATTTTGTTAATTCAACAACAACAAAAAATAATGCGTACAATATGCATTGAATTGGACGAATAACCTTTGTTAGCGAGTAAATGTGTAGGATAGAACTATTTTCCTGCTCATCTGAACACGCAAATGTTGCAAGACAGAACTAATCAATCACAGAGAGCGTTCACTCACTGCTGACAGTGCATTCAAACAGGTCTGCGTTTCCCAAAAGTATCATAAGAAAGCATTAAAGCTTTTGGGAACGGCAGCCCTGAACAATGCTTATCAGAGGACAGAAGGACAGAGTTATTTCACAATAAACAAACTGAAATTGTAGCCTACATAGTTTGTGCAATTACAGTTATTTAAATTGAACGTTGAAAGATAATATTGATCATGTTCTATTCTGTAATGTTAATAGAAATCATACACTATCAGAATAAAAAGATTGCATTTTATGCATGTAACAGCCTGTCACTGGCAGTCCCTTATGAAAATGAACCATGGTTTTACTAAAGTGACCATAGTTCAACTGTAGTATTTATAGATTTGAATCATGTGTAAACAAAAAACGTATTTGAACCATGTGTAAACAAAAATATAAACTAATAAGTTACAATTAAGGCGTATTGAATGTTAAAATGCGTTTTAAACAAAGTTAAGTGCTTATCATTACCCATTTTACTCTTAGTAATTTAATAATTTAATAAATTTCATAATTTAAAAGTTTAGTTCAGAAGTATCGAATCGGTATCGATATCGACGATACTGCCTTGAAAAATATCGGTATCGTATCGAAAACAAAATAAGCGGTATCGCCCATCCCTACTATTCAAATCGCATTCCTGGAAATCCGTTTCAGTCTATGGGCTTACATTTCTGCCACAATTCTGCGCGCGAAAGATCATATTTTGAGCGCACAAAAGTGCATTTTGCACGCGCGTGATCT